CAAGTCGTTATAAGTCAAGGACTGCCTGCAGGGTGAGACTCACAGAGTTCCCTGGCTCCATCTGAGTCTCATTTGGTTGGATATTATGACCTCCTTTATTAAAATGGAAGGAATGCTTGTGCTGTTTTGGCAATTTGGTGCTTCTTGGTATACTAAGGCCGTTGGGCGTGGGCAAAATGCAGGTAGTCCTCGCTTAAGGACCCCAGTCGGGATGCGACTCCGTTGCTAAGCACGTGACTACTACCGCTTTGCTTGTCAGAAGCCAGCTGTGGAAGTTGCAAACGGGGAGATCGCAGGACCCCCGGGACGCTGCAAACTTTGGAAATACATGCCAGTTGCCAAAATATCCGAATTATGATCACAGGACTGTGGGAATTCTGCCATAGCCGTAAGTGCGAGGACCGGTCCTAAGTCCCTTTCTCAGTGCCACTATAACTTCAAACAGTCGCTAAGCAAACGATCATAATTCGAACTGTGTAACCGCAGTTGGATTGTCCAGCCTGTTGAGGACTAGTTTTATAGCTTTCAAAGTTAGCTTTGCTTAGTGGTCTCCTTTCCTGCTTGGCTGTTGCAAGCCACTAAGCTTAGAAGCCATCAGTGGTTTGTTTCGGCTTATCAATCATCCCGGTGGTCCGTTCGTTGACTGTTGGGTTATCGCGTAGTCCGGAAGCCGCAAGCCATGATTTAATCCCGTATAGAAGTCTCGGCCCTTCCGTTTGACTATCTTTCAATGGCAAAACAAAGTAACCTAATCAGAGTTGAGTCCAAATTGAACTAACCTAATTAGACTTTAGCCCAAGTTGAGGGATTCTCGGGGGAGGGGGGGTGGAAAGGGAGGGTGGAGATCGATAAAACGAAGTGGATTAAATTTTATTATGCAAACACAACACCTCAACTCTTAATTCCTGGCTAAGGGCCAGCATTAGCCCTTATCAACTCTCTGGAGGGCAGGATGTGTGCACAACACCCTGAGCTATAAATCTGCCAGTTACCTACAATTTCAGCTGACTCAACTGTGTGAACCCAGCTGGCGGTCAGGTACAGATAGTCCTCGACCTACGACCACAACTGAGCCTCAAGCAAGACGCTTTGCTAAGTACGCCTCGCCCCATTTTGTGACCTTTCTTTGCCGCAGATGTTAAGCAAATCGCTGCCCTGGTTCCGTTAGCAACGCGGTTGTTAAGTGGATCCAGCTCCCTGGCTGACTTTTGCTAGTCACCAAGGTCGCCCAAAGGGATCAGGCTGCAACTGTCAGAAGTACAAGCCAGTTGCCGAGTGTCTGGATGTGGGTCACGTCACCCCGGGGACGACGCGGTGCTTGGAAAAGTGAAAAATGGCCGTGTCGTTTCTCCCCCCCCCCCCCGTTCCATTGTAACTTCGAACGGTCACTAAAACGGTTGCAAGTTGGGGATTACCTGCGTGGCTGTGTATCCGTACAACGCGTTCGCCCGTAACCGATTCAAATAATAGCCATTTTCCGGATTTTTGTGACATGCCACATAGCATCAGCCGGGTCACACACACACACACACACACACCCCGTTGAGTCACAAACCAAATTTTCCCTGGAAAATGGAGAGATTCCCTAAATGGCCACAAAAAGCTCTCCCTTAGAAGAATAATTTTAATTATTTCCCTCCCCCCCTATGTAGAGCATCCCTCCCACATTCAGAAAGTAATTTCCAGTAATTAACTATGCTTCAGATTCGCCTTCCACATCTGGAGCTCTGCAGACGGGAGTGGGAAAAACTGCTCCGGTTGTGGAATGTTTGCTGGTTTTTGTAAACTTGAATGCATGTCTAAGCCGGAGCCCGTGTACCTTCCCCCGCCTCTCTCCAAAGCCAAGCCAAGGCTGGTCCAGCTGTTGCACATCTGGAAAGCCCGTTCTTATTTGATGTTGTCTAGCGCTTCCAGGCCTTGCTACTTTTTCGTGGGAAATGGCCGCCAGCCTTCAAATAACAGGGCCAGGCGCTCAACAGCCCTTTAATAGAGAAACCGGCAGGGCTGTGGAGTTGGAGTCGAGGAGTCGGAGTCGGAGGACATTTTGGGTACCTGGAGTCGGAGTCGGAGTCGGCAAATAATGCACCGGCTCCGACTCCTACTAAATTTAGATTGGAATTTAAAAAAAAGCAAGTTTAAATGTCCCAATTCACAAAAAGTTACAACTAATGACTTCTCTACTGTAAGAATAAAGACCAATGCATGCAGTGCCTCACGTAACCGCAAAACGAACACGTTAAGTGACCGTGAAGAAGCATGCTTTTCATGTGCATGGAATTGTATAAAATACATTCGCATATTAATACAGAGGAGTCGGAGTCGGAAGTACAAAAAACTGAGGAGTCGGAGTCAGAATATTTATCTACCGACTCCACAGCCCTGGAAACCGGTGCTGCTGTGTGAACCCCTGGGGGGGGGAGAGTGTGTCCACATAGGTGTCCGGAAGGGTTTCGGAGGCCACGATCCGATTAAAGGAGCCGGTCCTGGTTTGGCCCGGTGGCAAGGGTGAGTTTGGGGGGCCAGGTCAGGTTGCCGTTCTTACGTTACATGCATTCTTGTCCCGAAGTGGCACCAGGAAACCCAGTGGGAGGGATTGGGTTTGGAAGGGAATGGACCCTCCACAATCTAGCAGGAGATGGTCAATAAAGGAGAATATTTGTAGCTCCGGGTTGAAACGAGGGGTCCTTGGTGCTCTCTGAGCTGGGTGGTTTCCTTGCAGACGTTTCACGACCCAACTAGGGAACATCACCCATGCTAGAAGAGTGTGAGTTTTACAGAGAGGAGGAGGAGGAGGAAGAGGAGGAAGGACTATGGGGTCCTTGGTGCTCTCTGAGCTGGGTGGTTTTCTTGCAGACATTTCATGACCCAACTAGGGAACATCATCAGTGCTGGAAGGGAGGGAGGTTTGCTTTCTGTTTACATAGAAGTATGCAAGGAAAACCACTCCCAATAAAAGACAATATTTGTAGCTCAGGGTTGAAATGAAGGGTGGAAGGAAGGAAGGAAGGAAGGAAGGAAGGAAGGAAGGAAGGAAGGGAAAAGAGAAGGAGGGTGAAAGGAAGGATAGAGATAGAATGAGGAAAGAGGAAGGAAGGAAGGAAGGAAAAGCAAAGAGAAAAGGGAAGGAGGGTGGAAAGAAGGATAGAGATAGAATAAGGAAAGAAGAGGGAGGGAGGGAGGGAGGGAGGAATGAAGGAGAAGAAGAACTGTGGGGGTCCTTGATGCTCTCAGAGCTTGGTTGTTTCCTTGCAGACGTTTCATGACCCAACTAGGGAACATCATCAGGGCTAGAAGGAAGGGGGGGTTTAGGATAAGGAGAAGAAGGAGAAAAAGGAATCTATGATCTTCGGTGTTCTCTGAGCTTGGTTGCTTGCTTGCAGATGTTTCATTAGCTAACTAGGTATCATAGGTGCCAGAAGGGAGGGGAGCTTGCGGAGTGGAGGAGGACCAGGAGGGGGAGGGAAAGGGCTGTGGGTTCATTGGTGCTCTCTGAACTTGGTTTTCTTGCAGATGTTTAATTACCCAATTAGGTAACATCATCAGTGCTAGAAGGGTGTGGAGAGCAGGAGGAGGAGGAGGAGGAGGACAACTGTGAGGTCCTTGGTGCTCTCCGCTTGGTTATTTCGTTGCAGATGTTTCGGGACCCAACTAGGTAACATCATCAATGTTAGGAGGGAGTGAGGTTTGCGAGGAGGAGGAAGAAGACTGTGGGGTCCTGGGTGCTCTCTGAGCTGGGTGGTTTTGTTGCAGACGTTTCATGACCCAACTAGAGAATATCGTCAGTGCTCCAAGGGTTTGTGGGGAGGGGGAGGAGAAAGAGGACTGTGGGGTCCTGCGTGCTCTCTCAGCCTGGTGGTTTCCTTGCAGACGTTTCATGACCCAACTAGGGGACATCATCAGTGATAGAAGGGAGTGGGAGGAAGAGGAGGAGGACTGTGGTGTCCTTGGTGCCCTCTCAGCTTGGTTATTTTGTTGCAGACGTTTCATGACCCAACTAGGGAACATCATCAGGAAGGGGGTTTGTAGAGAAGGGGGGGGGGAAGGACGACTGTGGGGTCCTTGGTTGTTTTCTTGCAGATGTTTCATGACCCAACTAGGTAACATCATCAATGCTAGGAGGGAGTGAGGTTTATAGGGGGGAGGAGGAGGAGGAAGAAGACTGTGGGGTCCTTATTGCTCTGTGAGCTGGGTGGTTTTCTTGCAGACGTTTCATGACCCAACTAGGGAACATCATCAGGGATAGAAGGGAGGGGGGACTTATGGAGAGAAGGAGGAAGAGAAGGGGGGGAGGAGGAGGAAGGAGAGGGGAAGGAGGAGGAGGAAGGACTATGGGGTCCTTGGTGCTCTGTGAGCTGGGTGGTTTCCTTGCAGACGTTTCATGACCCAACTAGGTCACATCATCAATGCTAAAGGAGAGTGGGGATTCGTGGAGGAGGGGGTCCCAGGTGCTCTCCGAGCTGGGCGCTTTCCTTGCAAAGACGTGCCATGCCCCAAACTAGCCACCATCCTCAGTGCAGGAGCTGGCCAGTCCTAACCTTTCGCCAGCCCCCTTTCCCAACACGTGTCTCGGAACGGCCACTTCTCCACACCTGCTCGCAAGCTCTCCTGCCCGGCCGACAGAGCCCCTGCGGGGGGGGGGAGAGGACTCCGAGGCGCATGCGCCGCTCCCCGAAACCCCGCCGCTGCCCGTCCCTCCCTCCCTCCCTCCTACTCAGCCAAGGTGCGCGGGCAACCTGAGAAGGGGGCGGAGCCCTCCCGCCCCCGCAGCCAATGGCTCCCCGGCAGCCGAAGCCGCGCCCCTGCTGCGGCCACGCCCCCGCCTCTTGGAGCGCGGCTCCTGGCGCCGCGGGGCTCAGTCGGCGCAGAGATCACCTGGCGCCGGTCATGCGGCTCCTGCTTTCGCCCCGCCGGGAAGCGCCGGGTATCGGCGCGGGCCAGTAGGCGCTGGATTAACGGGGACGCTGGTGGGGAAGGGGGGCCCGCGCTAGCAGCCGGAGGCCATGGTAGCGCACGATGACGCCGGCGGGCTGCTGCCCATTAAGCGGACTATCCGGGTGATCGACGCGCAGAACCAGACCTTCCGCGAGCAGGAGGTAAAGCGGGCCGTGCAGATCTTCTCCAGTCCGGGCTTGCAGCCGTCATGCTGCCTGGCTGCCGTCTGCGGCTGCCGTCTAAGGTCGGGCGCTGCTGACTCAGCTCGCCCGGGGCCGCAGCCGGACGCGTGGGAAGTTTCGGGCGCGGGGAAGGAAACCCAGCCGCGCTTTCGGACGGTCTGGCCAAGCTCGGCTTCCCCCAAGGGCCGGATCCGAAGCTTTCGAAACGAGCCGCGCTTGCAAACCCCCCCGCCCTCGCTTTCCCTTTTGCAAATCACTTTTTTAAAAAATAATAATAATTATTATTTTATTACATTTCTGCGCCCACCGTCGCCGCTTCCGAGGTGACCCCGGCCGGCTTGCGACAGGCTGCAGTTTTGGCATGGTGTGGCTTGTGTCAAACGTGGGTCCTTCTCCCCCCCCTCAAAAAAAGGCTGCCCTGGTGAGAGTTTTTTGTGTGTTTTTTTTAAAGCCCTTCCACCTGGGTTTCTCTCCCCTCTCCTTTTTTTTTTTTTAAAAAAAAGTATTTTTAACATTGGCTTTTTTTTTTTAAAGTGGGATTGTTAGCTGCAGCTGCTTTGGAAAAGGCTAAAAAAAGGAGGATTTTTCCTACCACGTTGCTTTCAAAGGAACTTTTGAAGCAAGTGAGTCTTAGTCAGGGGCCTGGGGGGGGGTATGACTTGTTCTCCCTGTCCTGCTCATCGTGTATCATCCCTGCAATTAAAATGAAGGGGGGGG